TTCATATGGCATTGTTGTGATTGCAGGTGATTTGAATAGTAGTTGTATCAGCCCCCTTAATACAAACCCTGTTAAGTCTCAGATCCTTTCGAGTTTTGTGCAGAGGTGTGACCTCTGCATACCCGGGTCAGATTTCAGTGTAGAAGGTGAACAATTTACATTTATTCAAAAATGTACAATGTTAGATTACATTTTTTTCCACAAATCCTTTATGGATAAATTAGTGTCTTATAAAATCTTTGAGGAAGGTAAAATCTGTAGCACCTCAGACCATTTACCGGTTCTTGCTGAACTAAGCTTTAAGTGCTTACATCACTATCTCACACACCATAACTTTAAAGTAGCGGCATGGCATAAAGCTACGTCTGTTGCTATTGAGTCTTATAGGACATATATGCAGCAAGATCTACAGGGTTTACTTAAGCGTGATATCCAGTCTATCACCGACATAAACAATTTTTATTCTGATTTGTGTTCAATCCTGATAAACTCCGCTGAGCGCAATATACCCCAAGCTGGATTTAATCCACATACAAAACCGGGATGGGCCAAAGAGGTAAAGGAATTCCATGTACTAGAAAGAAAAATGCGGCGTCTCTGGATAGATGAAGGGAGACCTAGGGGTATGGTTCATGAAAGTTACCGAAACTACAAAAGAGCCAAAAGACAGTTCAGAAATGCACTTGATACCGAAACCGAACGCTATATGAGTGGTGTATACCGTGATCTTGACGAAGCAGCCGATTGCGATATCCGACTATTTTGGAAGTTGGTAAAAAGACAGAAACGCCGATCTTCTCGTACCTATCCTGAAATTTGCGGAGAAAACGGGGTTACCTATAGTAATCCTTCGGGAGTCGCTGAAGCCTTCGCAACACACTTTCAAAACATTTATTCTCTGTCTGATGACTCATCATTTGATCAAGACTTCCATCGCCAAATTGAAGAGAAATATGCAGACATTGAAAAACTGTGTGATCATTATAGCGGCGACATCCCCGGTGGACCAATCACTGTAACAGAATTATCACCCATCGTTCGCAAGCTTAAGTACAGAAAAGCACCTGGTGCTGATCGAGTTACATATGAACACATTATCTTCGGTGGCGAATGTGCCCTTGCTTGTACTGTGAAAATGTTTAATGCTATTGTGCTCCATGGGATGATACCTTGTGCATGGAAACGGGGATTCATTGTACCGTTATACAAGGGTGGGGATAAATCTAAAACTTCGTGCAATAGCTACAGACCAGTCGCTTTATTGTCATGCTTTTTAAAGATTTTTGAAAGTATAATTCATACCCGTATTTCTGAACATGTATTAGTTGATAAATTATTTCCAAATCCCCAACAGCAAGGTTTTCAACAGAAGCTAGGTTGTTTGACGGCATCGTTCAACTTACATGAAACTATGTTTATGTTAGTTTTTTAGATAGTACAAAGGCATTTGACACTGTATGGAGACATGCTCTTTTATTGAAATTGTATGAACTGGGTGTAACAGGAAAACTTTGGTCTATACTAAAGGACTGTCACATTGATACATCAAGTGCTATTATAGTTAATCAAACTCAGTCAAGGTGGTTTCCTGTCCAACAGGGCGTTAGACAAGGCGGTGTCCTTTCTACATTCTTGTATCTTGTGTACATTAACGATTTGATTAATATTCTAGAAAAATCATCCAATCACTCGGGCATTCTTAATATATCATGTAGTTGTCCCTCATTGGCAGATGATCTAGCATGCATAGGTCTTTCACCTACATCCCTTCAAACAATGCTGAACATTGCATTCGAATATTCCAGGAGATGGCGATTCACGTTCAATGCTCAAAAATCCTGCATTCTGAGATTCCGTGCGAAAAATGTCAGAGAACACTTCGACTATGTATGGTTCTTGGGAAACGAAACCATTCCTTGCCTAGACAACTGTAATCATCTCGGTATTATTATCAATGATAAGTGTAATCTTTCAGATAGGATAATTGCTGCATGTCGAAAGGGGAAAAACTCGTATTTCGCCCTAAATGATATTGGATCTCGATACCTGAACCCTTTAACACTCTCTCATCTCTACAAATCAATTGTCTTACCATCGGTACTCTATGGATGTGAACTATGGAATGGCATGGCCTCAAATGATTTACATCGCTTGAGTGTCTTCCAGCATCTAGTGGTTAAAAACGCCAAGAATCTACCTACAAAAACAAGGTCTGACATTTGTGAAAGCCTTTTTGAAGTTCTTCCAATACAAGCCGAGATTGATGCAAGGAAGCTTCTATTTTTTGGTCGTCTGTGTCGCCTGGAATACAAAACTCTGTCGAAGAAAATCTTCTTAACTAGACTGTTTTCTTACTTGGCAGGGATCGCTCATAAACAGCTAGGTTTTATTCCGGATATTCTGATTCTTTTGTGTACTTACGACCTTTGCCAATACGTGAGTGAGTGGCTTACAGGTTCCTCATTCCCTTCAAAGCCTGCCTGGAAACAAATTGTGAGATCTGCTACTTTTAGATATAATAAGCTCCGGAGAGACACACGTGTTTCAGATGATCCTGGATTCGTCCGTTTCCGGAAAATATTTCAGGATGGAAATCCTGCTTTATTCTGGCGACTACCCCAAAACTGTTATGAGATTTCGTTGTGCAAATTCATTTGCAAATTAGTCTCTGAATCTCCTCGAGAAACTACAGAATTGTGTCCCCTTTGTGGATCTCTGTACGTTGATCTATTTAACCATGCGTCTTGTACGTGTCGTATCACTTATGATATACGCAATCAGTGGTGGGAGGATGTAATTAACTACTTTGACATTAACCTGTGTGTTGAACTGTGTGCCCTTACTGATGATGAGCTGTATTTTATTGTTCTAGGCCGTAAGCCGAACACCATTCTATCTGCCTTCAACCTAAGAAACTTCCAGTTACGAAACTTTCGCTGCGTTGTTGATGCGTGCGCCTTTTATAAGCGCAATCTTTCCGCACTGCAAATCTGCCAATGAGGGATGCTTCCAGCTCCTTTATTTCTTATCCTCAAAGTTCATTTATAGATTTTTTTTCACGCGAGGACATATATATATAATACATGTGTGTGAAGTAATGATCCCAAATGATTTTGTGATCTAAAACATTGTAAATATATACATATATACATTTTTTCTTCTATATATATTTATATGTGGTGTTTGCATGCAATTCATTGTTTATCTCATATGTGATATCCTTTTTTCTGTGTTTGTCAATTTTCATTAATCACTGTAATAGTGGAAATAAAGAATGAATGAATGAATGAAAAGCTAAGCATATCACGATCTGCTTAAGTACACTGTTGCCATGTCAATAAAGTCACTTCCGCTTTCACTTAATTGTAAACAAACACGTCATGATAAAGAAGCAAAGAAATAATATTAATAATTGTAATGAAAAATATTTTTTATATTTATTTAATGATCACCTTTCTCTTCTAACTATCTGTTTTAAAATTTTGATCACTTTGATAGATCAAAATATTTTGTTTGATATTGCATTGATGACATATTTTTATTATCAACTTCTCAGAGAGAGAGAGAGAGAGAAGGGAGAGATGAATAAACAACAGAATGTAGAAAAAAATTTGCTTACTTGAGAGATAGAGCGAAATAAATCAATTTTTAAATAAATAATTTTTTAAATTAGAGGATAAATATGGTATACACTTTTTTTCACAATGAATGTAGGTTTCCTATTGAATCTGTGCTTATAATGTGTAATATGTGACACTTTTCTGAATACAAAGTCTCTCTCTCTCTCTCTCTCTCTCTCTCTCTCTCTCTCTCTCTCTCTCTCTCTCTCTCTCTTGATCGATCGATCGATCGAGGTGTCTATTGAATGAAAATTACTTTTGTAATATGGGATACACGTAAATCGAATTAATTCTTTGATAATGTAAAAATAATTTAACATTATTTAAAGTACACTGGCAATCTCAATAAGGGCAAGTGCATTGTCACATATGCTGACAATACTACGCAACAATCAAAGGACTTCATATTTTAAACTGTTTTGATAATAAATTGTTAGCTTGATAAGTCTATAAAAGCAACTAAATAAAGTGGATACAAGCAAATTGTGATTTATTTCATATGGATTTAAATACTCTCCATTGTTTTCTTTTTGATTTTTTGTAAAGTTTCTATTTTTGTGTAATTAGCTCTTAGAAATATCTTGAGCAATATGCTTAAAAACTTAGGACAGGTATACACCATACTTAACTTTAAGCATATGCTGAGCATATACTTAGAGAGTTGAGAAGTTTTATTCAACATGCTAAGCAATATGCTAAGTAAATTCCAATCTGCTAAGCAGAAAAGCAGTACTTAAGTATATGCTTAAGGACTTAAGAATTTTTATGCATACGAATCCTGACATCTAAAATATCTTTCTTACTGTGCAAAAAGTGCTGTGGAAAATAATATTGCAAGAATTACAGATTTCATATTTAATGACCTTTATATTAGAATATATGTTAAAGTTAGTAAATAAATATTAGCTTACCAATAGATGAAGAGAGCATCAGTCACTAGGGCAAATTCTGTCACAAACAAAATCAATGGGACCTCTCTATAAACAATTTCGACAGAGAATGACCAGAAAAACCAGAAATATGTGGAGGGAATTTTAAAAAACCAATAAAACACAAAAGCACAAAACTATAACCCAATAGCAACAAATAACTTATAGGACTTATGGCCAGGACCTTAAATATAACTCTAAAGGCAAATGACAGTGAAGCACTGTATGTTACACCTGAATAAACATTCACTTATCTAATAAGCTGAAAGAAAAATACATACAAATAAAATACAAAATAATTTTATATTTATTAATTATTTAATAAAAATTAATTAATAAATCATCACTCTTACATATATATACACACAATCACAAAAGAAAGAAAACGCACATTTTCTAAAGTTAACTGTATACATGTATATATTATTCATATGTTTAATTTATTTTGTAGGACGAAGGCCAAACGCAAGAATCCTATAGAAAAAGATAAAATGTCACCCAAAAGAAAAATAATAAAACTAGAAGAAATAGAAACGGAATATAGGTAGTACTATATTTTTCATTGATTGCTTTACATAAATGCAACTTACGATATAGGTTAGCGAACACATGAAGTTATGGAAAATCTATTTTGTACTTTGAAGTCTTTTGTTAATCGGTATATAAACACTGATGCCCCAGTATGGCAACAAAGTGCAGGTTAAGCTTTCTCAAATGCAGATAAAATATGTTGGTACCCAAAGTAAGGCCTTTTTACAAGAAATACAAATGCGAAATATAAAACTCTAGCACCACCTGTTCAAAGGTTATGACCAAGATTAACGTTTTTTGAATATACCACAAACTCCAAGGTCAAAGGGTCACGGTTGTTGATTTCTAAAGAAAAGGCTTGTCTCAAATATTACATATGGGAAGTATGAAAGCGCTTGCCCTTTACGTTCAAAAGTAATAGCCAAGGTTATAGTTTGTAAAAAGTAGGTCAAACTCCAAAGTCAAAGGATCAAAGTTGTTGATATCCAATAAAATGGTCATGTCACAAGAATTACATATGTGCAGTATAGAAGTTCTAGCCCTTAATGTTTAAAAGTTATACCCAATGATAAAGTATGTAAAAAAGTAAGTCAAACTGCAAGGTCAAGGTCAAGGGATCAAAGTCGTTGATATCCAATGAAAGGTCTTCTCACAAGAATTACATATATGAAATATGAAAGCCCTAGCCCTTACTGTTCAAAAGACATGGCCAAGGATATAGTTTTTTTTCGTAAGTACGGAAATCTCCACGGTCATGGTCAAAAGGTCAAAATTGTTGGTTTCGAATGAAAGGTCTTGCCACAAAGAATTCATATTTGAAATATTAGGTTCTTAGTATCCACCGTTTAAAATTAGGGTCAAAGGAAAAAATTGGATCTTTTGTGTTAAAATGGCTAAAACTTTAAGGTCAAAGGGTCAATTATGTCAATGTTGTATTTTAAATGAAGGTCAAACTCCAAGGTCAAAGCCTCAAGGTTCTTGATATATTGATTGATTGATTGATTGTATATTGTTTAACGTTCCTTTTGAGAATTTTTCATTCATATGGAGACGTCACCGTATGCCGGTGAAGGGCTTCAAATTTAGACCAATACTCGGCACTCAGGGCCATTGAGCGGTGAGGGTTCTTTATCGTGCCAGCGCCTACCGAGACACGGGACCTACGTTTTTAAGGTCATATCCGAATCGAAAGACCCAAGATTTTCACTTCTGATGCCGAGCGCTTGGCGAAGGAACAGTCGCTACCTATTTTTACGTCTTAGGTTTGACGCGGCACCAGGAACGAGAATCGAACCATAGCCTTCCGATCACAAAGCGAACGCTCTACCACTAAGCTACCGTGAACGGTTTTCTTGATATAAAATGAAGGATTTTGATACAAGGATTAAATATGTGAAATATGAAAACCCTAGGCCTAATCGTTTAAAAGTATTGCCAAGGTTAACGTTTTACATCAGTGCGATAATCTCTAAGGTCAAGGGCACAAGGTCAAAGCTGTTTGTACTCAATGAAAGGTTCTCTAAGGACATAGTAATGTACCTTACTTACTGATAATTTTTTAAGATATCATAAATTTAAACTTATAGTACCATACTAACATGTTCTTAGACAAAAAATCAGCATGTGTTACCAGGGGTTTTGATAAGATATCAAAATTATGAAAATTTTAGCATTTTTCATATAAATATATAAATATATAAAATATATAAATATATATTTACATTTCTAATGTCTTTGTTTGAGATAAAATAACCAATTGTAAATGTAATTGATTTCCTCATGAATGTTTTGGCGCGGTTCGAAAAAAAACAACGTGCAGGTCGGGACAACACCTAGAGAGAAGCACGCTTGGAGTTCGTGGATTGGCGGAATCAAAGCATGTAAATATAAGGAATAACTGTCAGATTTTCCAATACATGAAGATGATCAATGGATTGGCTTGTGTGATAATTTTATGAAGGCGTTTATGCAAATTATCACACAAGCCAATCCATTGATCACTTCATGAATTCGAAAAATAAGACAGTTATTCCTTAAATAAATATGTACAAAAATTACAAAACATAAATTCCAGATTTTTTTCATCAAAATTTGTTTTGGAAGAGGTGTACAGATTCATATATAGTCATTAAAAGTATTGCACACAGGTCCTTCATTTAGTGGAACTCTTCAACGCCAGGGAAGAACCCGATAAAGTTCAAACTACTTTGCGTATGACCTTAACAAAGAAAACATATATGAAGTATAAAATTTCTGGTATATACTGTTCAAAAGATGTGGCCAAAATAACAATTGTGAATTTTGTGTAAAAGTGGGTCAAATTCCAAGGTCAAGGTAAAAAAGTTAAATTTTGTGGTACTCAAAGAAAGGACTTGTCACAAGGAATACACATGTGAAATATGAATGTCATAGCTCCACTTAATAAATATTATGGGCAAGGTTAAAGTATTTGTGGACAAACAGACAAACAGAGAGACAGACAGACGGACGGACACAACAACAAGAGGCCCACGGGCCTTAAAGGTCACCTGAGTATCATGTAACAACTTTCCAGCGATTGTATTTGGTTCAAGTTTTAAGCCAAAAGCCATGAAATTCACAAATTTTGAAAAAGGCACCATTGCTTATCAAAGGGCAGATTTCAAAGCATTAATTTATTTTATTAGTCAAAGTACCCCCCTGGTACCCCTAACCCAGCAGTCCTGAAATAATCTATTTTGAAAGAGGCCCCTTCATTATTAGGCCAGCATTTTTAGATTTAGTTATGAACATGAGAATAAAAAAGTCCCGAAGGAGAAGGAAATAAAAAAAATTTTTTTTTTATAAATCAATTATTAACATTTGTACATTCTTTTTTTATGCTATCCTAATAGGCTCCTTACCACTGGACACATAATGCTTACAAATAGAAAAGTAGAACATTTAATTGCTTATTTCATCATCTGTCAGTTTGGGCCAGTTATATAAATTTTGTGATGTTGATCAAAATATATTTTAAAAAATCAATTCTTTAAAAGTCTTTCTATATATCTTCATTTTTTTTAATATGTGTTAGGTGAATGTGTAGACATTGTTCTAAAATTTACTTGATGCCTAAAATAATTGTAATTGCAAGTAATTGACAAAATTATCAATGTATTTGAAAGTAATTAATTACATTTAAAAGTAATTGACCCCAAGCCTGGCTACCACGGGCAGTTTAAAACCTGGGGAGGAAAATAATTTACAGTTACTTTTGAAACGAATACATAATTATCTCACCAGCATGTCATTGTGCAACAAAGTCGTCAGCATTTTATTTGTCCTTTGAACGGGTGAAACGTTTTGAATGGCACTCCTATCGATGAATTTTACGCTAAACCAAGCTAGCTTTATTTACCCACCGTTTCATCGTAAAAACGGAAGTGCGAGTTCGTAAATTTGAAATCTCGATCCCGACTCAAATTTGACATTGGAAAGAAAAATTTTCTGAAAATTCAAAACCTTGAGCGGAGGGTTTGTAAAACTGAAAATAAAATAAATCCTGGCCTTAAATATGTACTTAGATCATTAGCATATTAACCAGGAGCAAAGGATAAGATGTTTAAAGGAATTCATGCATTTCACTATGTAATCATTAGAGTCCCACCCTAAAACAAGAACCCCTGACCCTGGGGCCATAAAATTCATAATTTTGGTAGAGGCACTCTTGCTTATCATAACTATGTACTTAGTTAGTTTATTTAATACCCAGGAGCAGAGAAGAAGATTTTCAAAGAATTCATGTATTTTCACTATATAATCAATAGAGCCCCGCCCTAACACCAGAACCCCTGACCCTGGGGCCATAAAATTCACAATTTTGGTAGAGGCACTCTTGCTCATCATAACTATGTACTTAGTTGGTTTATTTAATACCCAGGAGCAGAGAAGAAGATTTTCAAAGAAATAATGCATTTTCACTAACTTCTTATTTAGCCCCGCCCTAGCACTAGAACCCCTGACCCCAGGGCCATGAATTTCATAATTTTGGTAGAGGACTCATTGCTGATTACAATCATGCAAACAGTTTGACTGCTTGATGTCCAGGAGTAAAGAAGAAGATTTTTAAAGATTGCATTAATTTTAGTGGTTTTGGCCCCACCCCTCAGGCCCCAGGGGGGCAGGGATCATGAAATTCACAATTTTTGTTCCCCTTCACCCATAGATGCTTTGTGCCGAATTTGGTTGAAATTGGATCAGTGGTTGCAGAGAAGAAGCTGAAAATGTTCAAATGTTAACGCACGACGCACGACGAACGACGCACGACGACGGACGAAAACAGATAGCAATAGGTCACCTGAGTTTACTCAGGTGACCTAAAAAACTATTTTACCTCCGAAACTTGGTTTATGGGGGCATAAAAATCAGGTCTATTTTGAAAATTATCAACAAATTTAACTATGCGGTCATATAGGATTCACGGAACAATCACCTGACGTTGTGACGAAACAACTTGATTTCAAACCCGTGAAGGTTTTTCAGCGTTTATATCTTTTATTTCTTTCGATTTTTCTTGTTCTTTTTTTCTACGTAAGAATTAAATATTTCTATCAAGACATGTTACTTTTTCTTCTATTATGTCTTTTGTGCTGTTTTGGATTTTTAGTGAGATTTTAAATTTAACGCAGGTATAATCCATATACGTAACTTCCATGCGATATACTTGGGGTATTGAGTTGATGATTGGCAATGGTTATCCTTAAAATCTTTATAAAGCTCGTACCATTTGAATTGAGTTTATTTTGAGACATTTTTCTGCCTGCATATATTACTTTTAGAAGTTCGGTGCTCCATGACGTTCAATGACGTTCACATTGCTGGCTTTGTTTTTACAAAATTATTTATAAATAAATCATTTTTATTATTTAGAATATCGATTATTTATAAGTGGCTATAAAACAGTCATATATACGGAAGCGTATTGCTGCCAATTGAAAATATTTTTTTTAAAGTCGTGCGATTTATTAAGTTTAATATTAAGTTTAATGTACGAGATGATAAGTCATATGTACGAGATAATATGTTGTACGTACGAGATAAAAAAATCATACATAGGATTTTATATACAAGATATTATGTCAGTCGTAGATACGAGATACTAAGTTGTAAATATGACTTACTAAGTCTTACATGTACGTACGACATACTAAGTCGTACGCACGACATACTTATCTACGTACGAGATACTAAGTCATACGTATGACATACAAAGTTGTGTGTAAGAGATAGCTTGTCGTATGTATGAGATAGCATGTCATACTAATGAGATACTCAGAACTCAGAACAACTTAGTATCTCATATGTAGGACTTAGTATCTCGTACGAAGAACTTAGTTTATCATAATTATGTACAGCTTTTAATCTCGTACATACGTGATAATATGTTGTATGTTCGGCTTATTAGTATATCGTATTTATGACTTAGTATCTCGTATGTACGACTTATTGTTATCTCCTGCGTATGACTTATTGTTATCTCGTATGTACGACTTAGTATGTCGTACGTATGACATAGTTTCACGTACATAAGACTAAGTATCTCGTACTAATGTCGTATGTGCGACTTAGTATGTCGTACGTACGAATTATTATCTTATTATTATACTTTATTATAAGACTTATTTTTATCCCATAAATACGACTTAGTATGTCGTACAATCGACTTATTATCTCTTTCGAATGACTTAGAATATCCTAAGGAAGAAATAAAATTTCGCACTACGACCTAGTATGTTGTACCTACGACTTATTATCTTGTACTTACTACTTAGTATCCCATACGCACAACTTAAAATAATTTTTTTTTCAATTGGCAGCAATTGCTTCCCATATATTGCCAGTTGTTGAATTCTATCATAAATAATTTGAATCAATTCGTGGTTAAATGCCATTATTCTTATTCATTTAAAACAATGCTTAATAATTAATGATTGTTGTTGCAAAGGCGTTTTTCAAAAGAACAGATAAAACGTTACATGTACGAGGGAATACGAATGAAAGCATATATTGAATGTAAATTAATATATTATACAGTCTATAAATCTGAAAGCAAAAATAAAATCTTTAAATCAAAAACAAAGAAAATAAAAATTCAGAGTCACGTCTTAGGTTACGATGAAAATTGGTAAAATCTTTAAAATCATTAAAAACAATTATGATTCAATATCGATTCGATATCATCAATACCGATGATGTCGATACTAAGACCATCTAATGATGAGAAAGTACATACGCACAAGTACTGCATGAAGAAATAATAGAGGTATGCAAAAATTGATCGATATGGACGGTACATGTACCGATGGCAAGTACAAGTACAAGTACTATGTAACCTATTTAGATTAAAGATACACAATATATACACAATGGTAAGTGCGGCACTGAGAAAAGGTTGAGTAAACATGATTCGATATCAAAGCGATTTCGTCGACGATATCAACACCACACGGAAACTTCATAGTGATAGTAGTCAAGTTAATCACGATAAAAAAAGAGTTGTTATCATAAACCATGAGCAATCATGATTTGATATCGATACGATATCGTAGATTTAAGTAGGAAAGAATATTTCCAAAAATGAAAGTATTCTATTATATAACGAAATGTATTAGCAAACTTTTAAAAAAGTAATTTGTAGATATCATAATTTTATCGTGTCTTGGACATAACTCTGGATGTGGAGTAAAATAAACAGTGTACTGGTTAGACAACAGGTATCACAACGAATCTCCGGTCAGCTAACTATCCACAAAGCACAGCGACAGATTTTGATGATTTTTTTCAAAACTTTAAATGAAGCGCAATCATTTTACAAATAAAAATTATGTTTCTATCAAAAGGACAATTATTGTTATATCCATTGTGGTTTTGAAAATTAAAACTGAAAATGGCATTTTAAATATTTTGTAAAGGTAAATTAACCTAAATATTGTCAATTATACATATACAACAATCGAAATTATTTGTTTTATAATTTCTTTTTAAAAAGTATAATCTGAGTTTTTTTTCAGCTTTATCTTTTGAGGATATATTTAGGTTTATTAATGCAATTGTGTTATGCCTGTTGAATTTCAATCTTCTCATGCTGATGAAAACTGCATATTATAGAGCTAGGAAATCATAAATAAAAAATTGTTTCACGCTGAACATCTCGGTTAAGAAAATGAACGTAATATTAAAGTATTTTAAATTTAACCAGTTCACACCATTTTGTTGAAGATGATTCTATGTTTCCCATCATCAACAGCCATGAGAGCCCTCTGGCCTAGGCGTTCGACACCTTAGCCAAAGGTCGAGGGATCAAATCCTAACTAAAGGGATTTTTTTATTCATATGTGTGTTTTTTATGTCTCATTAACATTATTTTCGCCATATTACAAAATGAGTAGCCTCAAAATTTATAATTTGTGAGAAGAGTTCATTATATAAAAAATGGTATTTTACGAATTAAAACAGGTTTTTTTTCGACTGATGACTTAATGTTGGCTTAAAGATGGTTTAATGGTGGCATATTGGAGTCTGGACATTAAGCACCTATAAGTTTGCCTAAATGTTGGCTTAATGCTGACATTTGGTATGATGATATTCTGGAAGCTAGAATACATGTAAAGTACCTACATGTATAAGCCACCAATAAGCACTTTTAAGCATTCGTTGAGTTACTTAAAGAGATAACATAAAGGTACTTAATGGTAACTAACAGACAATCAATTAAACCATGGTTAAGGACCTGTAATCTACCACTAAGCCAAACTTATAGGAAGTGTTTAATCTTGTGCATTTTCCAAACTTCAGTATTCATATATACATTTAAGTGTTTATTTTTATTTTGAAGGACGAATGACAATCGGAATCCTATAGAAACAAACATGTCACTGGTCATACTTGCAGAAAAAGTGATGGAATATAGGTATAGTTTCCACTGATTACAAAAAGAGAGAGGGGTATATTTTTCAATTTCATATTCGCTCTGTTCTTTTTTTTCTAACGCAACTTTGAAATTAATCTGAATACCATTTAAGCTTTGAATTCATATTTCTGATGTCTCCGGTCCTATAAAACACCTGACGGAACCGACAAATCGAATACCGAGCGTTATTTCAAAACAATGTACATTTTGGTGTTCCTATATAGAGTATTGAAAATGCATCTAGTCTAACAAGGTTTTGCGTGTGTTATAGCGATTTCATATGGATTTCATAAATAATATTACACTGAATGTAAATATTTTCGTGTATACTCACGCTTACAAATATGGAGAATTGTGCGCAAACGTGACGTCTCAATAAAGCTTCAGCGAGGCTAGTAAAAGAATAACGATATAGGTCAGCGAGAAATTCATATATTTACTATATTTTCAATGCTTCCAAACATGTAGAATGTGAAGCACGCTAGCCTACGCTAGCCTACGTGACAAGTTTGTGTGATTCACACACCATAACTCACACAAAACATTCCTTAAATAAAAATACATTCATGAAATGAAAATAGATTGAAATATGTTTAATTTATTTTTCTTTGGTCAATAGTGTGTTATTTGAGAGCAAATACGGAAATATTAATACTAAGATTGTTTAATGAAGATTTATTATTTTTACCACAGCATTATAATGAAACAAAGGAATGCTATTAATAGAATATAATATTTTATATATATAATGAAAAAAAAAAAGATGGATGAATATAATTTTTGTTTTTTCTATAATTCAAAATTTCTGTAAATTGGTGAAATGTTAAAATAGAATGATTTAATTCATGCAGACATTATACCGTTTTTAAAACAAGATTTTATATTGTTAATATCGTTCTTGAGAAAAATTCTGATGCAATTATTTTGAAAATGAAGGAAAATTACAATATCCTTTTACAAAGCACTTCAATAGAATGAACAAAATATGTAAAAGAAGTCTAGTGTTTTATGGCATTTTTTTGTGTCAATTATTGAAATCAAAATGGTTGATCATTATTTTAGAAATTTTTTTAATGTTGTTTAAAAACTGTTTCATAAATCGTGTATCAAATACATTTAGGGGAGATAAATAAAACAACCTAAAATTATAGGAATAGATTTAAAATTTCATCACAATGTAATATTTACACTGTACTTATGAAAACTTGTTCCCGATTAGCTAAAAGGGAATAAAGTTTTTTCCTATTTGTTTGTTACAAGTTGAAGATAATACTTGTTCATTGGTTGTAAAAATACAGAATGTTAAAAATAACTTTGTTAAGATTTAACTTGAATGAAAGATGAAGAAGTTAGAATATTTGATACTCTACAATTTAATAGAATGACTTTCCATTCATTGTCAAAGGACATAAAGAAAGTCAATAAGTTATTATTATTACAATAATAATATCCTTTATGTGACAGAGTTATATTAACTATAATTGTTTTATTTGTTATAATTTATTTCTAAGGTATCATGTTTTACTTGGTAATTGTAAAGTTGTTTCATGTTTATAACTTTTTAGATCGGGATCAATTACCTAATTTTAATCTATGACACCATTGTCTTAATTTACAGCCAATCAGCGTGGCTTCTCCTAATCACGTGACCATTGTTTTATTTTTTACCAAAGGAGAAAGCCACACAAATTCACAACGAAATTTTTTATCGAAAAAAAAGTATTTCCAGTTTGTTTCACGCAACTTAGGTAGGGTAACTCCTTTCTACCTTCGATGTGCTTAGTTTTAAGTGTGATTTGCTGGATATTTCTCCACAGGATAAAGGTTTTGATACGTTTCGATAAGTGACTTTGTTTGTTTACGTAAGGTGCGCGATCCGGTTTGAACCGGTTTGGGGAGAACTTGTGTCACAACATGGAAGAGCCGAATTTCCTTAGGATTTGTTTACTTGGACATTCGTTTGTAACTCGTTTACGGCGATATATGGACTCGCATCCAGATTTAATGAACTTAAAGTTGCATCAGGATTTTTACAGTGTTTCAGTGCGGGCCCGTGGTGGTCTACGGATCTCGAGTGTCAGTCGCTCGTTCCAGAAACTTCTTGACTTTTGATATGTTGTCGCACGTGTGTTTTATGCAGATTGGGGAAAACGACATTCTTTTGCATACCAATGAAATGATTGTACGTGACATTCGATCTTTAGCATCGTATCTACATTCCGGAATAGGCATACAAACAGTTAGTGCGGGTCAACCTCTGCGCCGCCAACCTTGGGCCTCGTCACCGGACTTCAACGAACGCATCATCGCCATCAATGTCATGCTCCGGGAACAGTGCTCAAACATTTCGGGTGTGCATTTCTGGCCTCATAGAGGCTTCTGGACAGATTTGACATTTCTGTGTCAGGATGGGGTTCATCTCCGATGCCCCTCCCAGACATCCCATGTTGTGACCACCTCTCCTATGCACCGGTTTTGGCGAAGTGTTCGCTCAGCTATCTTACAGCATAGGCACATTTCAGGCCAGTATCATTCTGCTTAAATTTGCTAGTCTGACCTTGGTTTCAATTGCTTTACATATACATAGCAAAATATTATACCTAAGTACAAAGAGTGATTTACTTGATATGTCCTAATGATTAAGAATTCACCCCAATATTCGGTGATTTACTAGTCACAAGTCATTGGGTGCATGCATTACATTTGTTTATGTCATAAACTTTAAGTTTTATTGCTGTACGTGCCTTATATAACTGATACATGATGATGATTAGTCAGTTAGTTTGTTTTTGGAGTAAATTTAATTCAGCTTTATAGATAAACTTGATTGGAGTAGGCATTTATTCACTCCTGTATATACACTTTGTAAGCAACTTCTCTTTGTATTGTGGGACCATACACATTACGGAATGCTTACTTTGGATGTTGGGGGACCATACGCTTCATCTTGTACGAGTATATTGTTGTATGTGCATTTTCCTTTGGTGCGGGATCATACCACATAAGACATGCTTATTTGGTTGTTGTATTGTGGGGCCATACACGTTACACAACTGTTTTCATGTACACTATTCTCAGTTGACTCTGTGGTGATGTTGCGGGACCATACGCATAATCATTTTATGACTGCACATGTATTAATTGTTTGTTACTGTTTAATGTTGCGGGGCCATACGCAACAACAAAGTAATATGATATAAACTATTTTATTTTCATATGCTTTTTTTCCTATATGAAAGATCAAGCACACTTTATTTCAATATTTGTTCATGTTGGTCTTAATCGTGTGTAGCATCCACATAAGACATTACTGTTTACTGAATATATTTCTGTGAATGGATATATTCATATTCAACTGTTGCGGGACCACGCGCAACATCTACCTAAATATCTCTATGAAGTATAGCTTCTTTTTGTCTTAGTATTAGTTTGTAATCTTCTACTATGTTAAGCTAGCCGAAAAATAATATCTTAAAAATGGGTCAGACTAGCTTTAAATTATCCTTTGGTGATCTATTTTCAGCTTTTATATTATTGGGTATGATAATAACATTTATATAATGTTTATCCCTTACCCTCTCATTAATCAAAATTAATATTTTGCAGCATTGAAGCTGTTTACTTTTTACATTTGTAATGTGTACATGGTCACATGTATCTAATGCTATATATGAGTTGCGTCAAGCGAAAAGGGACCTTCGTGACAAAATTTTCAAAAATCGTTTTTTCACCGATTCTGTAAGAGCTAGTTTTTCTGAATATTTTGATACCAAATTTTTTGTTGTATACCTTCTTAATTCTAATTAAAACTCAAAATGAAAGCAAAGCAATTTTAACAAGATAACGCTATAAAACGTTGAATAACGTCACATAACGTTATTGATATTTGGAACGTTATTGTTACTAAATAACACTTTTGTATTAGTCATAAATTATTTTTTCTGCATGAATTTAAGTTTTCAATGTCTCCCCCCCCCCAAAAAAAAAAAAATAGCAGCTATATGATCGTATACATAGTAAAATAGCGATAAGGCTGTTGGAAAAAAACCGACAATTTTTTCTACATGTATATGTTGGCCAATATTGAAATAATGAAGTAAGTTGTGCATTTTCAAAGAATATATTCAACGACATCATTTCATCTTTTTTCTACAACATGAATATAAGCATGCTTTAATCTCTGAAAAATTGGTATTTGAAAGGATCCTTCACAAGGGGGTAGACCGCTGACCATGTTTACAAAACCAAACAAGTTCCTACTCTGAAGTTATCTCGCAAGGCATTCGTAACAACACGGATATTTTCCACGGAAGAAATAACTTGTGTTCACAGAAATGACGGGGTATTTACGATTGCTTGCAAGGGACTAAAATGAAAAATTATGTTCATGTATTAAAGTCGTAAGGATAAATCCTGGTCAAAGTATTGTTTTTTTCCCTTTCGCCATAATCAGCAAACTTACCTCCACAAAAACAAACCTTTCCCAGTACCTACATGTACATGGTGTTTTTTTTTTTGGAAGAAGGATATGGAGATAACGAACAGTATTCAATCTCAAAGTCCATAAAACAATACAAAATGACATAGTTGTACATGTACTTCCCGGAACAATTGTTTTTAGGGGGGTGGGGTGAAGCTTTCAGACATTGTTATTTTCTTTTACTTATCAATTATATCACACTTCTTTCAAAATTGATGTCCTTTTATATATTTCAATTGAAAATTATATTAAAATGTGGAAAATTCCCCGATTCAAATTAGATTAAACGTTTTTGTTTACCCCCCCCCCCCCCACCCCCTGTAACGATGTTACTTGCCTATATGACAGTGATTTAAGATGCTAAAATCAAATAAAATATACCGTTACACATTGTGTCAATAATTATGACTTAACTATATGGGAAAACGTGGTGGGGTGGGTGGGGGGTTAGGCCTTCTTCAAAAATCAAAAATGAGCCCGGCACGTTGTACTTGCCATGGAACAAAGACACGTTACTTCG